CCCTTATTATAGATCGAAATGCCCTATCTATAATAAAAATCCAATGCATGTAACTGTAGACCTAATAGTTAGTGGATAGGTCATGGTTACATTCGTAGTAATCCTGCCAGCTAAGTACATAATGCACAGTTTAATTAGAATTAAGATTTGGTGCAGAAAAGATAAACATTTATTTCCAACATTTATATTCAACAGATTTAAAATGGTTTGCGGTGTTGTTATACCGGATGCCAATCAGCAAACGATCAATTCCGGGACATGCGCAATCGAAACCAAACTTTGTTGGTCTAATATCTGAGGCTGGTTGATTATCGAATGTTTTCTCGTTAAAAATATTACAAGTTTACGACTAATTAGCACCTGTTAAGTTATATTTCCCATGATTTCCCAAATTTCTCCCTTTAGATTTCCTTCTGAGGACAACTTTCTCTTCAAACCTCAATTTGTAATGTCGCGGGAAAGAATAAACAACATGGTAACGAAAAAAATGCCAGGAATACCGACGCTATTGAAAAAAAAATTCAGACACCATCAGCGTCAGCACTTTTTGCATTTTCACATTAACTCTACAAATTTTTTCCTGACATTTGCAATCATGCATAAAATCAAGGTTTTGGAATGGTTTCCTGTGCTTCGTGAATTCAGTTATATACTTCTGGTTTTAGATCGAACTTCAGTGGATATCACCCATGATTCATGGATTGCTGATAGAATAGGACTTAAGCATCAGAAAGAACGCAGACACGTACACAGCACCTCCTGGTACAATACAATTGACCACACTATCCAATACGAAATAAAAATCAACAGCAAATTTTGATTTTAATAAGAGGCTACATGTAGGCCTATGTAGAAGACAAACTCGAATTTATCTGAACAACATTGCATATAGGCCTATTATCCTTGAAATAAAATTCCGGGCTGCCTAGGTCTAAACATATATTATAACATAATGTTTTCTAATATTAATTTAGTTTCTTTATAAAGTACATGGAAAACAGAATATTGAACTGGTAGGAAAATTCCGTTACGTAATCGAAGTTATTTAATGGGTTGGGGGTTATGGGCTGGTGAGATGGTTTTAGGGCACAAACTTATTATTGTCCCCCACGCCCCCGATTGATACGCCACCGCGTAAGCTAACATCTCTGGGGTCAGGTCCCAGGGCAAGTGAATCCTCAGAGGTTTAGGCGGTGAAAATATTAATTAAAAAATAAAAAACAGATAATCTAGTATAAGGACATCCTGGTTGACGGTCCAGACATTGCCCGATTGGTTAAGTCAGGACACCACTAACTACCCGCGTTGCAGTGGCGGATCCAGGAATTGAAAATAGAGGGGCCCGGGGGGGGGGTACTTTCACCGATGGAGAATATATACCACCTCAACTCACTATGGTTGGGGCTGAGGTAAGAACATTTGTGATTATGGCACCTCTAAATGGCCGGAAACCGCATCTCTAACACTTAAACTTAAATATTAGTTTCTTTATATCTCTATTCTTTTAAAATTTTGAATAATTTAGGGGGATGCCCCCACCCCTATCCCCTTGAATCCGCCACTGCGTTGCCATACTATCGTCGCTGATTCGAGAACTCATGGTTCTGGTAGGGGACAAGTCTTCTCAGATACGGACTAAAAACTGTAGGCCTAGGGTACTATAAATAATTGACTCATAAAGACTCCATAAAGACTCCAGTACATATTTCGAGATGAATAGGGCATTACCAATGTACTGTTTCAAACAGCGCACGTTGTGAATGGACGAAAATAACTTGTACCGGTAGGTAGCTCATACAAGAAGTGACCGTTACTAGCGAACGGATTTACAATACGAGCTAGTCCATGCATTGGCTTAAAACGATACATAAATCAAACTACATTTCCACTAACTTATTCCATCAAGAGAACATATCCACAACATGTGCCTAATTGTACTATATTAGCGCATACTGTTATGAAAAGCTAATGTAATTAATATTACGTAAAAATGCCAACTGACTATAGGTGAAAAGTGATTGGGCATTATATTCAAACAGATATATAGAAACATCTTAACTCAAGCATCAGCCAACGTGCGAACGACTTTCATCGCTTGGGAACTTGGCGCGTCAACGGGCGAAATTATTCATTAATTGCAGTAGATTAAAAACACGGGAATATCATCACGCGAATCCAGCAGTCGCCAATCTCTCCACTTTTAAGACACTTGAGCGGATTGAGGCGAACCATTCGCGGACATATGGGATGACATACAGATTTTAATCAAAAGCGTTGGAATGACAGCTAAATAGTAAATAAGTTTACAATCTGAAAGAAACATGTAGAAACGAAAAAGAAACATGGACACATTGAGACCAACCACATGTCATCATGACATAACAAATCAACCTGGACAGTAGCTGAATGTCTCATCATAAGATATAAGATGTTTCTCGTTCTCAGCGTACCACCTGTACACAAATACCCCAGGTGAACACATTTGAATACTGCGCAGTCACGATATCACCTTTTCTTTATTATTAGTTCACTCGCACCTGGCCACAATTTAGCAAGGCGGCGCCAGGTGTAACGTCGCACTCTTATACACATCTCAAAAATCACCGACCATTTTTGTTTTTATTTTTGCCAAAACTCACGAAAATATCGTCTCTCCGCCCATAATTCAACTTCGGCTAGGCCTAGGCTTTTTTGTGTTATTAGTTCGTCTAACCCAAAACAGCACAGATGTGTATAAGAGACAGATAATATGGTGTGAATCACTGCAGTTCAATAAACGATAAAGGAATGAAAATTATGATGGCGCGGAGATTTCTAACTAGGATACAACTAATTGAACGGAAATGAGGAAAATTATAAAATTAAAGTTAAAAGATAGCCGTAGGCCTAGTATTAATGATGTAAAAAAACAATGAGAACTAAAAGTCATCAAGCTATTTATATGTCTAGGAAAATTATACGTTGTGCTGGGGAAATGAGAAGTAATCTTAATTATCAAAATCACACACCTATACAGTTAATATTAGCATAATATCTTGCAGAAAATGTTTGAAATGGAGCGAAAACAGTAAGCAAATTTAAAACATTCCGGTCAAGAAGTGCTATAACTGAGTGCGATTCAGGAGGTTTCTGCTGAGGGTGGTTGAGCATGAAAGACTGATCAACAATGTCCCGGTAGAGAATTGGGGGAAATACTTTTTTATTAAATGAAACAAAGAATGATTATTATGTTTTCATTTCGTCAATAAATAATATTTATTGACGACTCATAAATATTACCGCTTCATATTCTCATATTCTGGAACTTTGCTGGTAATAAATGTTTCAAGATAAAGCAAACACTTAATTGTTCTAATTAGTGTCGTGCAATTAGGTTCATAACTTATTGAATACTTTTAATTAAACAATCACATGACGTTTTTCTAAAATAATCTGGTGCTTCCATTGCAATTTTAGACATTTATTTTCATCTTAATGAGATTCTGGTATATCTTTAATAATAATATTTTGTTTCATTAGTGGAGGTTATACATATCTCTTTTGTTTGGAGATTAAATACAATGTAACAACTAAAATAAACATTCTATTCTGCATCACGCACCGAAAATCGCGTACAAATACGTACCAAGCGGTACAACGTTATTCCCACGAGTTAGCATACTGCTTGTTATTTTAACACTGATTGGCGGTAAGCTAGCTTATCAATGAGTACATTTCCCTTCATAATATCATCGCATGCACAATTTACATTATGTGTGCAAAGCCTAGTTTAGGATACAACAACCGCCTGTGGCCGCGCAACCTACATAATTATTAGGATTAAGTTTAAGAAAATTTCCAATGTTTTATCACCACATAACAAATAACAAATACTTAGTAACCACTGACACGGAGACGAGCCTTCGGACAGCTGTTGTAGGATTAGTGTATATATTTAGTTTCTGATTTCCTGTCCAACTCACTTGATTGTTTTTACATGATTTTAAATCAAATTTTATATAAAACATGTATTAGAATAATACAGAACCAATCTATAATAAACGATAATTATATTCTGGGCGTTTTCCAAATTAACGAGAAGATATAAAACCAAAATGATTTTACAGGGATAAAACATTATATAAGGATGGTTCGTTGAAGTTTTAAAAGACGGCTCTTTCTAAAGGCAACTACATTTACAACATCTTTATTAAACTACTCGCATGATCTAGCGAGCCATTCTAAAAATTCGATGTTATGTGGCGCATTTTGTATTTTATTCAAATACTGTATATAAAAAAAAAAGCAAGTGCGAATCTATTTTGACAGAGCACAAAAGGAAGCACTTGACAACTGCTTTTTTCTAATAATGGAATTTCAAATTAATTCAAGGATGATGATTATTATTATTAAAGAAATAGGCCTAATAATAACAGCAGCAAGAACAGCAACAGCAGCAACAACAACAGAAAACAACATGAGCAACAACATGAGCAACAACAAGAAACAACAGCAGCAATAACAACAGCAATAACATTAACAGCAGCAGCAGCAACAACAACAACAACAACAACAACAACAACAACAACAGCAATAACATGAACAACAGCAGCAACTACAACAACAGCAGCAACAACAGCAGCAGCAATAACAACAAAAACAACAACAACAGCAGCAATAACATTAGCAACAACAACAGCAACAACAACGGCAGCAACAGCGGCAGCAACAACAAAAACAGCAACAACAACAACAACAGCAATAACATGAACAACAACAGCATTAACATGAACAACAACAACAACAGCAGCAGCTGCAGCAGCAACAAAAACAGCAAGAACAGCAAACCAGAACAGCAAACAACAGCATGAACAACAGCAACACAACAACACCAACAATAATACTACAAAAACAATTATAGTAGCAATTATAATATAAAATAATGAAGAAAATAATAAGTAGTATTCTTTAATTTGTGTTTAATTCTCTAATACTTGAAACAAAATAGCTATCACAATAAACTTTGGTGACATGTCATTTTATTAACAAATTCTTGGTATACACATATAATGAAGACTTCCATCATAGCTGTTTACAATATATGTCCTAACTTTGTACAACAAAATTATCTAGAGACGATATGAAAACTCCGAAGACACCAATGAGTCATTGATATTGATATTATGATTCTGAGATATCTTTCTGAAAACTCTGCCATTTCTTGCTTAAATTTTTCAATTTATTATCTAGTCTGTGATACAGATCAAGGTTGTCTGTACAGTGAGTATTTGCAGACTATCATACGCATTCAGACAATTTAGTTCAGTAAGATTTTAAACTCCCTCAAAAACCTTTCATCAGTGTCAATTCCCATGAGACCATACAAGTTTTTTAAAATGTTAAATTTCCGAAGAGCTTTTTTTCCCTAAAGTTTTTCTGTTAGATTTTTGTCACATTCTCTACAATATTTGACATTGAATGTTTTTGCTGTGAGATGCAAAGTGCCAATCAAGGACCTTAGGTCCAAGGTGGAAACATTGGGTTGTTTCCTTATTTACTGTACCATTTGTGGCACGATTTCATAGTTAGAGATTGTTTGCTTGTTGCCAGGAAAGAAGGTGAACCTCTTTTTCCAACTCTGGTTCTGTCACCTTAGCCGTCATAAATACTAATTAACCAGACAGACCATAATTTAAAGAAGTCTCTATACAGTAGATCTTTCAAAGAATCAGTTTCCAAACTGAAAAGCACTCATAGGTGAGTGGTACACTATTAATGTTACATGTGACCATCCATACTTCAAAGAAGTGTCCATAGATCTTTGCTAGAGCAAGTTCCACCATCAAAACTTCTCTAATAATCCTTCAAGATGCATCCATGGAGCTGTCCAGGGTACTATTCAATGTTTCCTCTGAAGACTTCTCATCCTCTGAAAGAGTTTTCAAAATATAAATGACAAGCTCATAGAATTTAGTAATCTCCATGAAGGTAATAATACAATAAATAACCCAAAACAGCACTATGGTAACATTTCTTAGGGTTTCAGAGCAGCACATTTTTGACGTGATCCCAATTTTGAAAAATTATAGAATTGATATAAAAATATATCTGGTTTAGTCCTGCAAATAGAAAATGATAAAAATAACCTCAGCATCCACTGGCAGCCCCAGCGCAAGGTAAAATTTAGAGGGAAAATATGCTAAGGTGGCCCAAAGTGGGCGTGGTCAGTCATTGCTCAAAATGTTCCAGGGGTCCAAAGCCCCTAAAAAATATGACAATTTAGGGGTTTCAGAGGCTTATTTAATCAATATATTATAGATAGATAGTAGAAAATATGTAGCAAATACATATAATTTTTTTTCTCCCTGACGAATTGTGATTTTTCGCTGTCTCTTATACACGGGGGAGGGGAAATGGCCCTTTCCCCCTGCTGTCGCCGCCACTGTCAGTATCTAGAGTTGGATGCGAGGTTTTAGAGAATCATAAGTGACAAAAATTCATATACTGATAAGAAGTGATGAATGGGCAGTCAGCAAAGGAAGATGAGAACGATAACCCATGACATGGACGAAGGATGAAAACTGTCAAACTTTTAGGTAACTTCAAATTGAAAATAGACACGAAAAAAAACTTAAGATAAGTAAAACATCGACTAAAAAATGACAATTAAAGCCCTAGAGTAGACCAAGGTGATTTTAGGGTTAATATTGGTAAAACTTGAATTAAGTTTTAGATTTCAGTCTAGAATAGTTTTAAGTAATGCATGTCTGGTTGAATTTCTAGTACACTGATAAGTTTAACCACATTAGAGTTTCTTGTTTCTTCAAGGCACCATTTATGTTTAATAAAAAATAGGCAAACCTTGGCAAAACTAGTATTATTGTGTACAATCACCAACACCCCCACCCCAAACCTATCAACCATACACAAGTTAGTTTCCTAGTGAGTTTGTCACTCTGCAGGTTGAATACTCTAATAAGAGGCTGAAATACAGAGAATACTGGGAAAATTACAATAAAATTTAGAATTTCCAATATCAAAGTTGATCACATTTAAATCTGATTTCTCTTATTCGACCAAGAAATGAAAGTGAAAAGACAAGATAAAATTGAAGGTTGCAAAGGAAATACATGCAAATGACAAGCACTGTCATTGCTAGTATCAACTGTCAATCAAAGTAATCTATCAAATATTTCTAGGTACCCATCTTCATGTATATTTAAAAAATGGAGTTTTTTTTACATTGTAAACAAGGGTGATCCTGAATCGGTGCCAAGACATTTTACATAAGATTGCCCTCAACACAATCAAATGAGTCACTAGTTTAATTTACTAATACATTTTTGTTATTGCAGTAGTATATTCTGTTAAAAACAAGCAAGAATGGCATACAGACAAGGCCTAAAATGTCTGCATTAAAGCAGATTGTACAGTAAAATTAATATATATGAGTGAATACGTACCCAAGTGGAAAAGATTTGGGCTTCCAATGGGCTTTCCCAGAGTGCCAATCAAAGTTAACAACTGACCAATCCAAACATCTTATTTAATAGCAACTGTAGGAGTACTTGCATTTTTTACAAAAAAGGAAGTTTACATGTTTATGCTGTCTAAGGTAACTCACCTTAGTGACAATATGTAAGGGGTGGGGCTTAAGTCCATTGGAGATCAAGGGTGCTAGATAGAAGCTGGCAGCTTGGCTGTGTCATTGGATTAGGCACTTCATCCATGATATCTCTCTCAACCCTGGAGTATACATGGGTACCTGGTACTGTACTCTATGTTCCAATGGCAATGCGTTTTATATCGATCGCTAGCTGCAACAATACAGAATACTCTCCCAGGGAGCCGAGTATGGTTTGCATCTAGCATTCGATTCAATGTATAGTATTATACGTGTTCCTGTTCTATTATAAGTGTTTGTTCTTAATGTACTTACTTATGACATCCAAGTACAAAAAGTGGTATGATTTGATCGAAGTGAATTTAAAGTATTTTTCACTTTGGTCAAAATTAACATTATCATTCAATTAATCCTTCCATTTATATGGCGCAATTCCAACATTTGTTGCTCACTGTTCCATTCCAAAAAGAGATTATTAAAAAAGGTGCATCTTGATTAGTGACTTAAAACTGTCAAATGAAGTTAATTCTTTAATAATAATAATTTGTTAGACATAGCGTTTCATGCCAACAAGATCTCTAAAGCACTTTACATTATTTATTACCTCCAGTCATTGGATAAGCACATACTCAGTTCCCTCAGCAGAATTCCAAAATGTTGCAGTTTAATCAGTGCATTTTGTGTTTGAACCTAGCAGGTACCCATTTATACTCCTGGGTTGAGAGAGATAACCGCAGGTAAAGCACTTTGCCTAAGGACGCAAGGGAAATACACAGAGAGGGAACTTCCAACCTCAAGGTTGAGAAGTAGATCTGAAACCGCTTTGCGAAAACTGCACCTACAATGTTAATCCAATGCAAACACAGCTTAAGTACCAGTTTCATTTACAATATGTAAATGATGATTACTCTAAAGCCCTGTTCAGACCATCAAATTTTATTTGACAAAAAACATGACATCACATCATGACCATATATAGGCACATCATTACCATATATAGGCACATTATTACTATATATGGGCTTAAGTCAATAGTTCTGATAGTATAAATTTCATATCACTTGCTTATTTGGGGGAAGGGGAAATAAAGCATATATCTAAAAAAACATGGCTAGACTCACTAGGAGTATGAGCATAAATTAAGCAAAATCATTGCTCAATTTTAATTACAACGAATCAACGGTGACACTTGTAAACAGACTCTTGTCTCTAACTGTTTATCATTATATTCCCATTGCAGTTGGTCATATTAAAACCATACACACAGTGTACCCGTATCATAATTAATTTGTTACTACTTTCATCATAATCTTCAAGAAATCAACATATATGTCAGCAAGAAATGTATCACAATTTGTTTACTAACTGTTATTTATATTACTATAATACAATTAAAATTGAAATTTTTGGGTGCAAAAAATGTGCAATGAACATTTCAGTTATGCACTGGCATTTCATGATGAAAGAAATTTGCACAGTTTTTATTGACATATTTTTTTTTTCCTGCTACTGGAAAACAACCTAACTGAATTCATCCTGAACAAATCTGTCATATGTGATTTTGATAAATGCTTCAGGTTTGCGGAACATAGTTTAAATTAAACCTGAACTACTTCTACTATGATACTCTGCGTCCAAAAAGCTTTAATGATACTAAATTTTACCATGAAAAATTTTTCAATAGCTGTTCAAACTGAGTTTGATTTTTATTCTTAAAAAAAGAATTACACTCTTATCCATAGAACATATTAAAATCACAAACATATAAAGTAGCTATACTAATACTGTACAGTACAATACAGATTGTTTTGTTTCATTTCAATAGTTCAGCAAGATTTTGAATTTCTTGTCCCTTTAGACTCAACTAACAGATTTATTGCCATATAAAGTTATTACGGAAACTCATTCTTTTTTTTAAATTTCCGTTTCAAACAATATTTTTTTATAAACATTGATTGAGACCATCAGATTGTGCGATAATTTTAAGTGACGTTTGTGATTTGGAAAGATTATAAACACCAAATTGAAAGACATTCAAATTTTTTACAAGAAATATTCAATGTAAACTTTCATTTCAGAATTGATTGATCTTCCCATAATTTAATTCCCAAAATTTTAAGAAATGACGATACAGGAATATTTTTTTCAATATGATTTTCAAATTAAAAGCTAAAACTTAACTATACAAACTAATCTGTTGCTCTTCTGTTATATTTTGTTTTCAGTTGTTGTACTTGCATTTGTAGGTCATGATTCAACAATAATTCAACAACTAAAAGGAGCGGTTTGCGCAATCATTGCGGTTCTGCTTTTGAACCTTGAGATCAGGGGTTCAATCCCTCTCTATGCATTTCGCTTGTGTCCTCAGGCACTTCATCTACAGTTGCCTCTCTCCAACCAATAGTACAAGTGGGTACCTGGTAGGTTCAAACACAAAATGTGCTGATTACAGCTGCAACGTTATGGAATTCTCCATAGGGAGCTAAGTACAGTGTATCTGTCCTATATGTGCTTGATCCAATGACTAGGGGTACCATAATAATGTAAAGCGCTTAGAGGCTTTGTTGACATTAAGCCCTATATAAGTCCAACATTTTATTATTATTAAATACAATAATAATAATGTTGCAAATAATTTGTTACAGGTTTGCCAAATGTTTTTAAAATCCCCCAATTGCCAAATTTGTGTTTCATCCAAACACTGTAGTTGAAATAAATAAGTTTGACAGTTGTGAAATGTTTATCATAATTCTTTTTTAGTAAAAGCATGTGAAAACAGTAATTATGCCAATTCAGGTGTCACAATTGCAACTCATCTCGAATTTCCCCCTTCCGTTAAGACTTCCGTGGGCGGATCGTATCATGTAGTTCCTTGTCCGGATAAATCCTGAGAAGTCTTGCGATGACAGCTAACGTTCAGTTATGCCCTCCAAGGGTGCTAAGTGTGGCCGACTGTACATATCTTATGTTCTGTCTCTCTGACATGATGTTGGTAAGGAGCCAACAAAGTGAAATGTAGAAGCGTTCACAGGTAAAAGAGCAACAACCACAATATTTTTCCAAGAGTCTAAAGAAAGTACATTTGCCACTCATAGACAGGAAATTAACTATGAGATTCTCTATAAATTAATCTCACTTTGTGCAGCCAGGCCAGTGATTAAATTTTAGTGTGTCAAACCCAATAGAAAATGTATACATGGAGCCAAAACTTACTTGGTATGTTAAATATATAACCACAATATAAATTTTACAAATATGAATAAAGAACATTTGAAACTCACATTAAAAAAATAACTATGAGATTC